AGGCAGCGTCCAATACAGCCTGCATTGGGGCCGTGGCCTGGAAGCGATCATTGACGGAATCGAGGCTTGTCTTGACAACGGAAGGCGTCGCACACCGGGAGGTGCTGCCCCAGCCGTCATCGTGGTATCATATGCCGGAAACGATGTGTACGGCAACCACGGATTTGTGGGCAACCCTTGGGTGGACACCAACGTGCTCCACCGAAATCCTGCCAAGCAGAGGGCAGCCTACGAGTGGCAGGCAGAGCTGGCACAGAAACATGCCCAGCAGATGAGGCGTTTGGCGGACTTGAGACAGAGGAAAGATGTGGCAGCCCTGATCGTCATCTGCTACTGCGATTCGCAGAGTTATGGACTGCCGGAAGAATACGCCCGTCAAATGTGCCAATCAGCGGACGTCTTCACTCGCCTTGGCGTCACGAATGTGACAGGCACCACCCTGGTTCGATCGTGTCAGCGGTACGATAACTTCCACTGCCACAACACAGAAGAGAACCGGGCGATGTTCGTGAAGTACTACGCAAATGTTGCTCTGTTCGCCTACCACTACTGGGTGCTCGCTGGCGTTGACGTGTTGCGCAAAGATGCCAACCTCTTCGCGAAACCTCGTGGGGAAAAGACCCACCGCCAGCATATGCTTGAGCACATCTGGAAGCGACGCATTGATTCCGGGTACCTCTTTTTGGGTGACTTCGACGAGCACGATGAGCTTCTCCCGGGTCAAAAGCGGCAGACTGCCATCGACCAAAAGAATGGCTGGCTCCTGACGGTTTCTGAGACTACCGAGGTCGCTCACATGGATGATTTTGGGGACCCAGTCTACGCGACCAAGGAGCAGATTGAAGCTGCCAAGCTCTTGCCATTCAATCAGCGACTTTACAATATGCCACGGGGAACCGTTGGTCCGGATTTCTATGACGAGGGTCAGGATGTGCAAGTCCCGGCTGAGCCGTCGAAGGCTGATCAGACAATGCCGGATGCAAGTGTGCCGGAAGTCATCGAGATTGACGACACCTTTGCGCCCAGCGCTGATTCGCCTCCGGGGACGGAAGGTCGAGATGCAAACAACCAGGCTCCCGTGAGCACTCCGGGCATGGAGTTCGTGTCTGTCACCGTTGATATGCCAAAGCACGGTGACACCGAGGTGGACCCTGTGACCATCACGGAAGAAGAGGAGCCCCATGTATCCAATGAACCCATTGCGGATGAAAACTATGTCAATGAACTTCTCAAAGATCACCTTGACTCCGCCATCAGACAGGGCTTTGAAAACAAAGATCAGCCAGATGATGACTCAGATGAAGAAATTGTTTTCAAGGAACCGATCCTCACATCTATGCATGCCGACTCATGTCAGGTCGCGGGTGTCACCTACCAGTTGAGAAAGAAGGAGGATGAAAGCGATGTCATTCGTATCTACATGGCAGAAGAAGACATCCCGCAGCTCACTGGTGAGGCACTCAGAAAGTTCCGCGAGGTTACCACTTTGGGGAACGAGCCTGACCTGGCCAACAAGGCACCACAACCGAGGATCCCGAAGGCGAAAGCATCAGGTGAGCCGGGGGCGCCAAAAGCGCCACATGAGACTGCAAAGTCAAAGACTAAACCGGCATCACCGAAAGCAAAAGCACGCCCGGCGGGAGCTGAGGCCGATGTTGAAATGAAGCCAACAGAGGAAACTCAGCCCAAAGTACCAAAACGCCCGGCGGGAGCTGTGGCCTCGGATTCGACCCCGACAGCAAAACCAGCTGTCAAAGCCAAGGCCATGCCTAGGGCACCACCGGTGCCTCCCGTTTCGTCGCCTCTTGGGGAAAACGAAGTTGTGGCATTGCAGTCAAGATCGGTTCCGGGTGCTGCCAATTTGGCGAACCTGAACTCGAAACAAGTCTGGATTTCCCGACGCGTCTCGGGCTTGCTCCGAGGATGGGAGCATAGCAGACAATCCTGGCACAAGGTGCAGCCTCCGAGCTTCGACGCTGGGCTGTGGATGGATTTTGGCAAGGTGTACTCGTTCATCAAGCGGAAGTACGATGTCAACCTTACCAACGATGAACTGCTGACGGTCATCACATCCAATCACAGATTCATGCTTGAGGTAAGGATTGCGCCAAAGGGGACTTTGGTCGGTGGAAAATACCAGTATACACCTCTTCGGATCAAAGCGATTCAGAACCATAATGAATGGTCAAACAACAACGTGAAGGATGCACTTCCTGAGCATGAGCGCTTTGTCACTCTCGATGAGGAGTATACTTCGGTGGAATATCTGGCCGGCAAATTCCCTCGGGTTCCGCGAGGTGCGCTGGGAAAGGTGAAGGAGGTGGCTCCCACCATCCTCTATCACTACACGCACCGGGCAGCACTGGTTGAGATCATCAACATGGGGTTGATTCCCGGCGGCAATCGAACTGGAGCCAGGTTCACCTTCTTGACGAAGGAAGATCCGTGGACGATTTCGGGCACTGACTATGCAGCGATGGCGGCGACTCGCCCCATCTGCGTTGCCTTGGATCTCCAGATGATGATTTTGAACGGGCACCGGCTCATAGAAACAACTGCTGGTACAATCCTATGCCCTGACTGGCTGGCAAACCGGAACGTAATTTACGTGTACGACATGGAGTCCCGTTGCTACGCCTTCGCAAACCATGTGTATGCACACTATCGCGGCATCATTACCGGTGAAACTAAAGCCTTCAATTCAGCACGCACTGGGGGACCAGTTGCCGATGACGATGAGATGGTGAAAAGCCCACTGGAAAAGTACACCTACCAGGTCCTTGGTGACTACGAGAGGTGGTGTGGCAAGGTGGACACCTTTTCCCCATTCGTGTACGGTGAACTGTTTGAGCGCCCAGGCGTGAAAGACCAAATGATATCAGGAAAGCAGAATCCTGATTTGGAAACATACGAGGTCACGTATGTCGTTCGCAGGCCCAATTTCAACGCCTACAGGAACCAAGTGTCGCCCAAAGAGATGCTGCCCAACTACAACCGACCTCGGTTTGATTGGCGCAAGATTCACCCCGAGACTGAGGGTTATGGCAACACTCGATGGATGGTCGTTGAGGGCATTCAGATGCCAGAAGCTCAGTGCCCAACATGCACAAATACCTACACCCATGGCATGATGTCCTGCATCACATGCGGCACCTTCCTCAACAATGCCTCGGATCTGTGTAAAGCTGCTCAGCTCATTCGGATCGAGGAAATTGCAGCAGATCTCGGTATCGAAGTCACGATGGATATGGTACCTGAGGACAGGCTGCAAGGAACAGGTGTGAGGAGGACGCCGGCGGGGACGCCTGGCCATGAAGTTCAACGTGCTTCTCGTTCGGGCATCAACATTTTGAAAGCGAACGCCAAAAGCCATGTCCAGAAGGCGGACAAGATGTCCATGACGGTATCGCAGCGACAGCTGGTTGACGCCTTCTACGCGTTCAACTGCGCAGCCCAGGATCTCTCTCCAATCTGCATTCAATTCCTGGAACGATTGTCAGATGCCATCATCCCTGACCCTCCGAGGACAAGGGAAATGATTGCTCGTGGCATCGGTCATCGATACGCTGGCAAGGTCATCTTCATGAACGAACCAGCAAAAGGGAATGATGCTGACCTGAGCGAGGACTTCTTCATTTATTGGAAGAATAGGCTGCACCGTCCTGAGACTTTCGCTGCGGACTATTGTCAAGGTGCAAAACGACCCGCAATCTTGGGATTTGGAGGTGAGTGGCGAAGTGAGAAGACGGACCCTGATGATGTGTTGGATGAACTCCTGGAATTCGTGATGGGCGATGCTCAATTTGTACCTGGCTTGGATATCAACCTTGTGAAAGAAACAAGGGCACTTGTGATTCCCAAGGCCAAGGCCGCACCAGGTCCAGGTGAAAGTCTGGCCAGGGCAACACGTACTCAGGCCGAGACATCAGAGCAACGCTGGCGAGGAGCTGCCGGAAGTGATCAATACCATGATTGGCAGCAGTCATCCTCATCGTCTTCCTGGTGGTCATCATCCAACCGCAACTGGTGGCAAGATGATCGCGGTCGTGGCAGTGACTGGCGAGGACACGACTGGTGGAGTCAGCGCAGGTGGTGAACACGACGCACAGCGGGAGCTGTTGCCTGTGGAGAAGAGAATAAAATCTACGGGTGACTCGGCTGTCTTTGTGCACTGTGTTTTCCCTCGACGCACCGCGGGAGCGGTTGCCTGGATGACCGTTTCTGTGATGCACCGGGGGACCGGTTGCCTGAAACCAGCAGCTAATTCGTTTGAGTTCAGGTCGATGAACTTGGCTCTCAATCCTTGCAATGAAGAGCGCACATCTTTTGTTGTGCTTTGTCGCCACGCGGGAGCGTGTGCCTTGATGGCTTTGTTCCTGCTTTCTAAAAGGTTGGCATTGCACTCCCAGTTCCGCTGCGCAAAAGAGATTATCTTTGTGAGCTTGCTTTGAACTTTCATGCATGAATCAGTTGAGACATGTTCAACCCTAGCATCAAAGCATGACAGTGCAACATGTGATTCGTCCTTGAGGTCAACCATCCTCTCCATCTCAAGGCACGTTCCGGTCCGATGCTTCGCACGTACCGGGGGACCGGATACCTTCGTAGGTCCTTAATTAATGCACTGTACATAACTTCACTCCTCCCATTTTCGTTCAGCGGGGGGTGTTGTTTCACGCTAGGATATCGTATACATGTCTCACTTTACTACCGTTTGGCTCAAGGAAAACCAGGTGCGACTTGTTGGTAGTTCTCGGTCGTTTACCTGTAACCACACAAATCATATATATATATATATATCACCAGAGCGGCCATTGATTTGCAGCAAGGGGCTCAGGTGTACCGGGCCACTCGCCCGATTCAAGTGACCCTTGTCGGGTCGCAGGTCCCAGAAGTGTACAGCTTCCCAGGTCAATCAGTCGCCAAGACAATAGAAATGACTACACTCCCCTTTTTCGTTGTTGTGTGTGGCATTCAACGAGCTGTTTGTTTTCCCTTAGGCATTGACCGCTTGGATTACATGAAGGGCATCCCACACAAGCTCATGTCCTTCGGCCGCTTCCTGGAAAATCACCCGGACTGGGCAGATAAGTGTGTCCTGGTCCAGCTGGCAGTGCCGTCACGGCGCGACGTCCCGGAATACCAACGCTTGCAAAGGCAGGTGCATGAGCTTGTGGGAGACTCGGCTGAAGTCAGAAGTCGATCACTTGTGACGTCGAGTGGCGAGCAGCAGGAGCAGGAGCAGTAGCAGCAGCACTTTTGCTGATGTCATTCAACCGAAAAACTGTTCCAAAGCATCCAAAAGTCATCAACAGTCACCTGCTTCGGCTAGTGCTTCAGCTCCTTCCTTTATCAGGTCTTCATACCAATGCTCTGGGGGTTGCGGTACTGGGGTCATGGAGAGTTTGGACCTTATCACTAGCCCTGGCTTTGGACCTTAGGGTTTCAACACCCTTAACCCCAAACACCTTAGATCTAACCTTCTTCTTAAACCTTTGTGGATCGTCTTGGGATTTGTGCCAAAAGGTATGAGCGCTTGCTTCTTGCTGCTTTGCATACTTGTTGTTCCTCATTGCATTTTTTGCACTGTATTGTTGTTTGCTTTGACTGGCATGGCTGCATCGCATTCCAACGTGGGGCTCATGAGTGGCCAACCCATTTCAAGACAACATTTCTCTCCGCCTGAGCTACTGGGGCTAAGGGCACTCACTTGTCGGAAGACAAAAGCATCGTTGAGGGTAGTAGTCATGCAGAGGGGCCAGATTTAAGTTTCAGATGTTAAGTCAACTTCTCTTCGATTGAGCACTACGTTGATAAGGGGCTAGTGGCTAGCCCTCGAAAATGCTTTTCTGGTGCACCAGCGTGCTGCTGTTCGGGCTGTTGTAAGCCCCTGAAATGCTGTTGATCAGGACAGATCTCGGGCAAGCACTCGAGCATCGCGACGGGCGTTCCGGTGATCTACATGGACTCCTCCATGTCGCCGGACGATCTCTCGGCACTCTACAACGTGGCAGATGTGGCGCTCATCACATCCTTAAGGGACACTCGGTGTTAAGCCCGACCTTTTTTTAAGGGTTTTAAGGTTCTGAGATGTTCTGCAGGCTCCTGCTGTGTTTTGGATCGTTTTGGTGGTGTTCTCTTACCTTCGCATGTGCAGAGTGATTTGCATGTCTATGCGTTTCGAAGGGCGGTGAATGTGCCTGTCCCGAACTCCGAGAACGTACTATGTGTGTGTGTGTTTTTGTTTCTGCGTTTGTTCAAGTGGCGTGGCCAAGGATGGGATGAACCTGGTGTCTTATGAATACATTGCATGCCAGCATGGCAAAACAGTGCCAGGAGCTCCTTGGCAAGTGTTTCCTGCGACGGCCATTCTGAAATTCCAAACGAACAGTGACTTGTGTGACGGGTTTTGTATGTTCCACCCGTATAAAGAGGGTCACTAGTAGATCTAGTAGGGTCACTATGTTTGTTTCTTCGGGGGCGCTACCAGTCCAATGTACATGTGCCTTGCACTGAACTATATGGAGATGCAGCCGGCTCTATACAGAATATCAACGGTTGTTTGGGCTTTAAGGGTAAGCCGCTTAGCCCGAAGTGCTCAAACACGCGTCCTATCATGGTAGGAAACCATAGGAAACCCTTCCTCCACTTCACTCCACTCGTCACTCCTTCGACCGACGACCTCGTTGATGTCCAGCCCAGACTGCCCTCAGTGTTTGTGGAGAATGGTGGGATTCAACAAAATAAGATTCCCCATACTAGAATGGTTTTATGTACATGTCCAGGCTTCTGTTGGCTTTCTTCACCAACAGTCAACAATATGGCATGCCTTTACTTCACATTGAAGTTCCTTTTTGTACTCTTTTCTGAAACGTTGGCATTGCACTAGCCGTTCAGGCACTTGCAAGGTGGCTGACTGCTCTTTGACAAATTATTCCTAGCTAGGACCTTGATAAGGATATATAACCCGCATAGTTCTTTTGTTGAATGTCAAGAGCTCATAATCGAGATGTCTGAACCTCTCCCACCACACCTCACTTCCGTTTTTCGATGCTTCGCCCCAACAAGGTGCTGATTTTGTCGGAGTTCGCGGGCGCGGCACAATCCCTGGGTGCTGGCTCCATCCGCGTAAACCCATGGCACCTCCAGGAGTGTCGAAAATACTACGGAGCACGGTGTGGGTTGTGGTGAGACGAATGGACATATTTCGAGGGATTGACCGGTGGAATGCTGCTGGCGAATCCCAGGTCTTGAGTGGCATGTGTTGTGATTCTTTCAGGAAGCGAGATCACCACGCGCTGATCCAATACTGGAGTGTTCTTCAGGCAGTTGGATTTACTCCTAGGTTGAAAGGTTCAGTTGGCTTGTTGATCACCTATGAGTGTCAATACACGGACCCTCTTTGGCCGTTTGGTCATCTTTCTTCCGACATCGATCCAAATCTCTGGCCCGGCGCCCAGACCGGTGCCTTGGAGACCGTCGACCGTCCAGCCGCCAGGATACGGCGCATGCCATCTATGAGGCTTTGATGATGGGCTCCGAAGAGCGTGAAGCCTTACACGACTATGCTTTCAAGCTGCTTGGCGTGATGGTGAAGAACCACCTCCAGCAGATGGTTTTGTCATGTTTTTTTTTATATTTTTTTTGACCCCCGAGCAGCTTGCCAGTTCAGTGATAGCAAGCATTGTTGCCAAAAGAACTTTGAGGGCGATTTCTTGAGGATTTGAGACCGTTCGCGGGGTCTATGGCACAACTCCCATTGGGCCGGGGCCTTTGCAGATGTTCACTCTGGTATATGAGGTATATGATGGTATATGGCTTTAGTATTTGGATGATTGCTCCTGAATCACCGCTACCCTGAAATGAGTGTGAGCTATACATGCCAATGGCACAACGGATGTGGTCCGGAGATGTTTACTGGCACCATTGTTTTTACCATTCCACCTTGTGGGGAAGCAGTTTGCTGCTTCTTTCGAGAATTGTTACTTTCGCTGTTGGCTTGTATTCCAAGTTTGGAAGTGTTCATAGCTGCGATTGGGCATGAACATTTGTAAGTCCAAGATACACCTTTTGTTTGGCGGTTTGATCAGTAAGGTACGTCTCGGAACACACGGCACAGAAATGGGCCGAGACATTTCTGCAATGCTTGCGCTTTGGAATGACGAATGGAGACTCATGTGGTTTCTCCCGTGATAATTATGTTTGAGCACCTACAGATATCTTATTGCCATGCCATGGTATATGTTCCCGGTGTTTTGAAGGTGGAGGCATTCTGCATTGGGAACACCTCCCATCCCTGGAATCATTGGGATGACCCATCAGTGAGCTCAATAATTGAATCCGGCCATTGATGATGTTGGAGCACCTACCTGAATGGTTGAAACTGAAAGGTGGATCATTTTGATCTCCCCAGAGGTCCTTCAGCTTGGTCTACCAAACCAAGCTAAGTCTAGACTCCAGGACGTTTGCTCTACCTTTGTGGCTTGATGTTTCCAATATCACCCAGTACTGGGGGGAAAGTATTGAAAACAGTCACTCATAGAATTTGCAGATGGTCGATCTGTTGGGGATGTGGTCACTGAGTCACTGGGCCACACTGGGCCGCTTTTCTGAGGCAAGAAGCGTGTTCAGATCTCATGGAGGTCACCTCACAAGTTCCCCCGTTGCTGCCCTACGAAGAGCCGCTTGGGTTGAGACACGTGCCACTGGGAGAAATGAGTGACACCGGAGAGGTTGCGGCTCTTCTGGAGATTTGGAAGGGTAGATGAACACAAATGTATATATCGATAATATACATATACTACCTCCAAGTGACAAAGGAGTTAACAGAGACATGTCAAAATCCATAATTCCTTACTCATCGGGAAACGACAGCGCTGGCAGCTGGGTAACAACTCCCTTCTCATCAGCCCAAGGATGAGGAAAGTAGCTGAAATCAGAGCATGCTTGAGCATCCTCGAGCATGCTCCTTTTGCTTTTGAGCGCGAGGCATGAGTTATATAGGACTTGTGGGTAGTGGGTGAGTGTTAGGTCACACCAAGCACATGCACCGGGTTTCTACTTATTCTACTTTCCATCCCTTGGCGCTTTCATTGTGTACATGTTGCATGTGTGTTTTTGCTGTGGCGTATATATATATATATATATAAGGGTTTGCATCAGACTAGGGAGACCAGACCCTTGAGCCGCTTCCATGTTAGTCTAATAGTCTAAGTTGCTGGTCGCGATTTTTTCGGGTTCGCGACAAATACATACTCTGAAGGGACCGAAGGAAACACTGAAGACAGAAGCAGCAAAAAAAGAAACCACTAACAACTGCTTACTCGATAGTACTACTCAATACCAGAACGACTGAAGGAGCTTGTGCTTACTGACTGACGTACTTTCTATTTTGGTCCCACCATTTTGGAGGCTCTTTTCGGGTGCATCAGTCTGGTCCACAGTCCGGTTCCCAGTCCCCCACGCAAAGCTCGCAGAGGACTGGGGTGATCCCCACCTGTGGGCTGCAGGATGCTGGAGGAAAGAACACGTTGAGAAAAACCGTTCCAACGCATTTGCACGGCAAGCTTCCAGATGGAACGGCGTGGGTTCATCCGCGCATATTCCCTTCAGGTTCCTGTCGGACTGGTCTGAATCTGTACAGCGGCTGATTATCATCGACCTGTTGGAGTGTTTGGCTCCAGCCCGCGGCTCGGCACCGCCTGGGGGAGAGCCAACTACATCCCACCACCCCCCCAAAAAATACAACCAATGTTTGTACTGGTCGTTTTCATGTCGCAACCACCTGCTTTGGTCCCCGAATGGAAGATCGATGAAGATAGGCAACAAAGCGCTTCTGAAAGATGCACTGCTAGGACCAGGAGGAAACTCATGTGTGAAAATCGAAAATGATATGCTGGGACACCTCAACTCCTTTACCACTACTGGGCTGCCAGTAGACTTGATCCACCAGAGTTTGCTCGCTTGACCCGGTCTACTCAGTGCATTTCCAGCTCTAGGGGTCCCTCCCAAGTTCCTTGCAAATTCTTTTCATTTTTGAAAGATGGAAGTCAAGAGTTACGATCTTTTATTTTAAGCTATAAGATATACAGCATCTGGCTTTTACAAGCCCGTTTGCCACTGGAGTGTGTTCTTCTTGGGGGCATCCAACTCTTGCCTCATACATATCCACAGCGGATCAACAGCAATGCTCTTGCCAAGGTGAGCGGATGAACTTGCACTCGCGGGGCCGGCCAAAGTTCATTCGGCTCCCACCGGGGCTTTGGCAATGTTTGAAGCTTTGGCATGTGGAGACGGGGGTTTTCCGCTTGATGCCTTCCTAGGCCTTTGAAAGGCCCAACAGTAATATGTCTTGAACACTCAGCATCCCTCTCCACTTCTGTCAGAAATTACCACCAAATGATCTTGAGAACTTGGGTTCATAGGTGAAATATATCGGAATATCATTATTTTTTTTTGGGGGGGTTGTCAGACCGGCGGTTTCATCCCAACCTTCAGACCCACGGAGATGTCACCGAAGCGTCCTGTCCCAGCGTCCTTGGCATTTGGAGAGGTGGTGTTCTTAGATTCTTGGTGTGCTCTTTGAACGGAACCTGTAGATTTCGACTCGTTTGCGGCCAAATGAGCAAACGTTGTTGAATTTACCAGGGTCAGACAGCTAGCCTATTGCTGCTTCAGGGTGCCCAGGGTTGGAGGAATCAGCCCGCGGCAGCTATTTCGTGCTGAGGAAGACCATTGCCTCAAGTCCGGGCACCTCTGTGCCTTGATTGTTGGTGCCGGTTGGATGGAAATGGAAATCGCAGAGGTTGGAGAATCGAATCATTTTCTATTTTCTTAGATGTTTGTACATAAAATATGCACAAGTATACATTATGCATATAATATATATATACACACATCATGTACATATATACACTGTAATATACATATATATGTATATGTGATTGTACGCTTGTCAATTTGCGCATCTTATGTATGCATGCATGTATGCATGTATGTAAGTATGTATGTATGTTTGTATGTATGTCTGTGTGTATGTATGTATGTATGTATTTTTTTTCTCCTAGAGGGTTCTTTTGCTGCATGTTCGACGGCTCTTTGGCCAGCTGCGGGCCGGCCGCTGCAGGTTCTTGTAGAGGAGGTGGTCCTGGCGCTTCAAAAGAAGTCAACATCGATCTCAGGTTCAGGAGTTGCTGGACTTTCTGAGCTCTCCAGGGCAATGGCTTCCTCAAGCTGCGTTGCCTGCAGCTGGTGTGGCCTCTGAGTATCGGCTCCATGTGTTCTGTGCCGTTTGGCAGCAGTTGGAGTGGTCACTTGTGGCCCTTGCTGCTTCTGATGCTGTGGCCCGGATGGTGGCTGGGGTTCATGGCCTGCATCCTGCCAGTGCGCTCGTGTGAGTGGTTCAGACAAAGGCGCAACCTGAGCAGGCACAGCATCAGACTGTGGTTGCCCAAGTCCTAAACTTGGAGTACTGTGACATGTTCGCTTCGAGCCTGCTTCAAGGCTGGAGATCATGGCCTGTGCAGGATTTGGGTTGTCTTCCGCTTGAGTGAGCGGTGTGGCAAAGTGAAGCCTCCTGGGAGTTGGCTTAGTTGTACCATCTGGTGCACCTCCGCTGGTGGAACTGCTGTGTTTGTCAGCCGATGTGCCCTGAGTTCCCTGGCGTGCAAAGAAGTCAGTGAGGGGTGGTGTTCCAACCTGAGCAGCCCCTTTGCATGACTTCTTGAAGGCTGCTGTGAGGATGACCCTCTGCTGGCCATCAAGGTGTAGGCTGAGGCCACATTGGGTGCAGGAGACCTTGCTGCCTTTTTGCCACAGCATATGGCTGCTATGGCCTTCATGTGGATGAGTGTATGGCATATCCAAACACTGCCCTGTAACAAAGGCTTGGAAGGTGCCTTCATTGCTTCGTTTGTGGACATTGGTGCCACACTTGACACAGCGTAGGTATCCAGCAGTCTCGGCTATCTCATGCTGAGTAGCTGTGGGGGGTTGGACAGTCTGCTGATGGAGCAGTTGCTTGATGGTCTGCTGCCTGGTCATCTTCTTCGGCAAGGGTTGATGTGGAGTTTCCGGCTCTGGGAGCTGTGCCTCAAGGCGGAGCTGAGGGCATTCCTCTTTGAGTCTGTCCTCAAGGATTGGCACTGTGAGGGCCTGGTGCACTCTTATGCCACATGCTCCACATTGGTAGCCACTGCGGTGAGGTGCCCATCGATGTAGCGGAGCTGTTCAGGGCTGGCTGCAAGTGCCAATGAGCTGCTTCTTGTATTGTTTGGTGTGTTTGCCCTGATGCCTGTCAGGCTTTTGATGGATGTAGTGATCTTTGCTGTCGAAGATCACTGCCAATCTGTTGAGGGCATGCTGGTAGATGAGGGTGTGGTCATCATCTAGGACTCGTTGCCAGTCCGTCTTCCTGGAGTCTTGGAAAGTTTTGGCCCTTTCCCATGCTGCTAAAGCGGCGTCTCGTTGTCTTCTGCGCAACTGGGGCTCACTGCCTGGTGCCTGTGGGGATTTGGTGTTCCTGGCCACATATAGCACGGTGACTCTTTGGTAGTCTTGTGCAGTGACTTGTTCCAGCTGGTCCAGGAAAGGCCCTCGATGCTTCTCCTGTGTCCATGCCTCCCAGACACTGCTTAGTTGCACAATGACACGCACTGAAGTAGTGGTGTGCTTGGCCAAGGCAATCAATCCTTCCATTAGGGCCCTTGCCTTGTTGTGAGGTGCAGGTGGAGTACCTGTGATGGCAGCAAGGCGTTGCAGTTGCCCCATGGTCATGGTGTGTGCACATAGGCCAAAGATCCAAAGCTGATCACGTGGGTCGTAGCTGGAGGGTGTGGCATCAAGAGTGAAAGCCCATCCCTGATGAGGATGGGGTGCCAACTGCTGTAGTCCTTGCCAGGCTCCATGTCCTTGGTACGGATGTGCGATGTGCTGGTCCTCTTGTGGTTCCAATGGAATCCATCCAGTCTCCCACAAGGGTGTCTCATCATCTGTCAAGATGCGCTCTGCCCACTCTGCCGGCATGGGAGTGTGCTTTTGATTGTGGTGCCACTTGCACAGCCACAAGATGTGTTTGGTAGTAGCCGGAACTTTGCAAATGGGACATTCTTTGGCTTTGCCATCTTGCTTGTAGTGCAGGGCTGCCTGTGTCCAGGTTCGCAAATGTGGCTTGTGGGCACCAGGAATGGTCTTGATCAGCTTCCTGTAAACGTGCCAATCCAGGCCGGTCACAAGGTGCTTGTGGCTGGGTTTGCTGGCCAGCCTGGCAATGCGCTGGTCCCTGGCCTCCTGCTTCAAGGTCTTTTCTATTTTCCACCACGGGTCTTGCAGGGTGATGTCCTGTTCGGGAAGTAGTTGACTGCTGGGTCGATGCCATCTCTGAAGTTCGGGTACCTGCCAACCCCATTCCAGGAGATATGTGATTGTGGCAGCCATTGGCCCTCGGACCACATACCATGGATATTGCCTCGCCTGGAGTTGGTTGTGGAGTTCTGTCCAAGCCTGCTGTAGGTGCTGCATTTGTTCTGGTGGCCAGTTGTGATACAAATGGTGCATAGCCTTGATGTGATGCAGGGTGACTTGATCCGCAGGATCAATGTACTTCTGACTGTGGAGGTCGTAGGTGATGTCGAGCAGACCTCCTGCATGATGGCCGAGATGTGTGGCCAATGCTTGTCTGAGGGCTGTTCTGTACCTGGGTGCCAGCCCTTGGGATTCTACACCCCAAAGTGCCACTGGCTGGATGCCACCACGATGAAGTCTGAGGCGAACTTTTAGGGCCGGGATCTTCAAAGTTCTCAACTTGATCCTTCTCTGACGAGCTTTCATGAACCTCTGTCGTAGGACTGGGATGCGCCGTCTCCTGGCCGCCTGATGATCAACTCCCAGGTCTCTCATCACCGTGGAAATTGGTGGCTCGTGTTCTTGTAGCAACCCTTGCAAAGCTTGTTCAGTTCGGCGATCTGTGGTGATGAAAGCTGTTTTCTTTGGATTGACCTTGAGGCCCAGCCCAGTCAGGCGTTGTTGTAGATCACGATAAGCTTCAACCGCTTCCTGTGCAACTTGGAGTGGCGTAGTGCCTGCCAGATCAAAACCAACATCATCCACCCAACTGGACAAGTGAGCTTTGGGGTGGTGTTCCTTCCAGGGGATGAGCGCCGGTGCCAGAACGGCCTTTGCCAGCAGTGGTGCTTGAGGACACCCAGCAGGTACTCCTTGATCCACGTGAAAGAACGGTGTCATCTCTTGCTCAGCCAAAATGGCTTTTGGACCGCAGTAAAGCTGCATGGCCAGCTCCAACATGAGCGGAGGGTAGTCAAGGTCAATGGCTTCCTCCTGCAACTTGATAAGGTTGATGGTGTCATAGAAGGTGGACATGTCCATAAGGACAGTGATGCCATGCTGCTGCCGGGCTTTTGTGACCTCTTGGCGCAAGAGCCTTTCCAGTGCCACATGGAGCACATTTGCCCCTGGTCTTGCCCTGTCATGGCTCATGGTGGTCGGCAGATTTCGTTGCCATTGATCTAACAGCGGCTTTCTCAGTCGACACCACAGTCTCCAAAGCGTCGAGGTCAAGGTGATAGGCCGCTCAAGCTTTTGGTTTTTGGGAAGCATGACTACCAGGTGCATTTGAAGCTGGGTTGGCAGTTCAGCTGTGCGTTCCATGTGATGGATCAATTGCAACAGCGGTGTCAACGCCAAGGGTGGAATGGACTTGAGCATCTGGACTGAAACTGCATCCGGTCCACTGGCTCTTTCCGGGAGCGTTTTCAGTGTTCGGTGGAGTTGACCTTGTGTGATTGGCTCCAGGGTCAGTGCCTGTCGTTGGGCCATCTGCTTGATGTCAGGTCTGGTTGCCGGATCATTGTCCTGTCGAAGCTTCCATAGTCCTCCCCAATCGGCCAGTCGCTGGTTCATCCGTTGTGGCATGGGTGTCATTCTGTATGGTCTTTCCCAAGCCAACTCACTGCTTTTCAAGCTTCTGAACAGGCCTCGCAGGCCTTTTTGATGCCCTTCTTGCAGCCATTGTCGATACTGCAGAGTGCTTTCTTCCTGAGCATGCTGTTGTGCTTCTTGTAGCTGATGGGCCATGGTCTGTAGAATCAGCTCGGCTGCATGGGGATCTCTGTAGCGAATCCAGTGATGACAGGTATCAAGGAATTGTCCCCAGGTGGGGGCTCCGATCCATTGGTTGGGCACTTGAGTGAGCCTTTGGAGGAAGCCTCGAACTGGGCCGGTCTGGACTTGATGTGGTTGTTGTAATGCTAGGGTGAAGACCACCTTGATCTGTTCCCAGAAGGCTGGCTTGCCTTTGCGCCACGTGTGACCCTTTGGCTGGAGCATCAAAGGCTTGGTGACAGCTTGCAGGTTATGCCCTCTGCCCTGGGCTGCCCATGGGTGTTCTTGTAGTAGATATTGTTCGGTTTTGGAAAGCCAGTCTGCCCAGGACTGTGCTGCTGAGTTTGGAGGAATGCCATACAGGTCGATGCAGCGTGCCTGAGATTGGTATGTGGTCCAAGGTCGGAAATCAATGTCAGGTACTGGAGGCATCGGAGGAAAGTATGCCATTTGTCTGTACTCCCTGGTGGCAGCTTCAATATCAAAGTCCAGTTGGAGCAAGGCATGTGGTCTCCATGGAACATCCCATTTGGATTGGAGTGTCGTGGTGCCCGCCATGGAGTTGTGCAAGACGGCATAGTCAATGGTGTTCCCGGACAGCACACTGTGATCTGGTGCCAGTATCCCAAAATGGAACTTGGA